TGCCCTGCTTGCTTCTAAAGGCTGAGCTGGGAGTGTCAGTGAAACTTGAGGCCCAGCTTGGTCCCCTCTGGGAAGGAAGAAGGATAGGACCTCCTCTCCCTCACTAACCACCACTCTCCCTGCCACTGATCCATCCTGTCAAATGGCTGCTCCTTACAAAGTGTGAGTGCTGACTCCCACCAGAGAATGTCCCTCCAACAAACAGCAGCAAGACCAAGTGAGTGGTGGGGAAACTGAGGCGGAGAGGCAGAGACAAATTATGGCTGGGCCTGGTTCCCAGGACTCCCAGAGGAAGTTCCTCCCAGACCATCCTCGCGCCTTGTGGTCTGGTCTTCTAGCACGGCACTGGGTACCAGCAAAGTGACTCTGCCCAAGCGGGTGGGCGATCTGGAAGCAAGCCTTCCTATTTCTGCTCTCTTGATGGGTGACTGAAGGTGATCCACTCAGGCTTCTGGGATCTCCCTGACTCTCAGTGAAATCAGATGCAGGCTGTGATAGGGTAGAGTGGTGCCATGGCCTCCAGAGAGAGGTCTGATCTTAATGAACATCAGGAACCAGCCTTTCTCTCGGCCTCAGTGTCTTCATCTGTAAAATGGGGGAGTAAACTAGACCACTAGGGGCCCTATGCTGAGAACATGGCAGCACCATTTGGGATTTGACCTTTCCCACTTGGAGGGCAGGCTCTGAATTGCACTCATCTCTGCCCCCAGAGTCTCAGCACAATGCCTAGCACACACCCCCAACATCTTGGAGTTTGATGACCTTCCTGGGAGGGGCTGTATAATAACCTCCAATCTATCTGACTCAAGTCAGGGGATGCTGCCTGGTGATCTAGAGGCTCCGCCCATCCCTCCTGCCACTACTGCAATTCTACTGGGAGCCTATCTCCCTGACACTAATGACTCTAGGGAGCAAATTTCACATCTTCTTCACATCATCACAAAACTGGCTCATCCGTTTTGCATTTGGCTTCGAATTTGCTGTCTGGACTTCTAGGAAATTAGTAATGAGTGGTTCTAATAATTGTTTGTTCTTAGAACTCTCCTAAAAATAACTCGGTCAAGTGAGGGTGGTGGTGGGGTGATTCAGTCCTCTAAAACATTTCTCTTTCATTCCATCCGAAGTCTTGAGTTCCAATTACTCATAAATGTTTCTGTGAGCATAGTTCCAAATTCTAATGAATTTCCAGGAAATGTCACCAAAATGATGTTGGCATTGTCAAGATGTGCTCATTTTGTTTTTTGTTTTTTTGTTTTTTTCAAAAACTCTTGCTAGCTGCTCCCTTTCGTGCAGACAACAACTGCATAAAATACGTCAGTTTCTGGGATATATTATTGGAGCTGTGTCTTAATGGCATAACTGATGATATCGGATTTAAAGAACCATCAAATCTTCAAATTTCAGAGTCAGCATGCCCAGAATAATACTCAGCAGTCTCGCCTCGCAAAGTTGACACTTTTCATAGCTTCGCCTCAATGTTTATCCATGACATTCTATGGTTTCTGAGCAATTCAATATTCTGGGCCTTATTTCTTTAATTGTCATCTCTTTCCAACTAAGTAAAGAGTCTGATGTCAACCAAGTTCCTGAAGGAACACAGCTATGGTCAAGGTGCTCAGGGCAAGGTCCCAGCCTAAAGGGCAGCTGCTCTGGAAAGCTGCCATCTTGTCCCCATGTAGCAGGGGAGCCTCCTTTGCCATCCACGCCATCTCCATGCCCACCATGATGGTCCAGCCCTGTCCAAGTCCCAATTCTCAATAAACTTCTGTTGCTGAAAAGAGGCAACCAGATCTGACCAGCCCCAAGACTTCAGCTTCACGCCGGGAAGGCGAGTGGGCGTTTAGCACCTTCCCCTGGCAGAGCAGCTAAGCCGCAGAAATGAGCTTGGGTTACATTCTAGGTCCAGCCAAGTTGGCAGCCCTATGAGTCAAGGTTGGTGTGTGTCCAGCTGTGAGTCTAGCACAACTAAAAGGCATAAAACCGTACTTTGTGGCAGAGATACACACCCATGGGCAGGCTTTGTAGGCAGTTCCCCACAGAGTCTTTGATTTCTGTCCCCAGGCTCTTCCTAACACCCATCCTCCTGCCAGGAGTCACCACTGCACATGTCTCTTGATGCATCTAGAACCCAGCTTCCCTCAGACTGAAATGCTTCCTCCAATGATGCTAATGAGGAGAGCCACAAGGCATGAGTGAAAGCCGAGTCTCCTCTGCCATCTCTGATCTCAAGTCAAACCTCAGCCACATCTACTCCTTCCCAGCAAGTCCATGGCTTTGAGGATTTCTGCATGTCAAAACTTCTTTGGACACTGGAGCTAGGATCTTGACTCTAGAATAGGGGTGTCGAACTCAATCAGAGAAGGGGCCAAAATCTAAAATCCAGCCTAAATCGCGGGCCGAATGGTTTACTGAACAGTCATAAACTGTCATTGTGATGGAAACGCAGCGGAGTGCAGTGATGACAGCGCGGTGCAGGCCACATTGCAAGGCCTGGCGGGACGGATTTGGCCCGCGGGCCTTGTGTTTGACACATGTGCTCTAGAACATCAAGGGACTCCTCATAATAGATGTCTCAGCTTCATCAGAGGTCAGCATTGAGGTCTCAGCTCTATCTACAACATCAAGAAGAGCCATCATCATGGACATCAAAGCTTCATCAGAGACTTGAGCTGAGACTCAGTTCTGGAACATCACGAGGGCCATCCATTGCTGACATCTGAATTCAATCAGAGGCTGGAGCTGGGGTCTCAGATCGGGAACATCATGTAGACCCTTCATCATGGACATCTGAGCTTCATTAAAAGGGGGAGCTGGGATCTCAGTTCTGGAACATCATGACTGACACTCATCATGGTCATGTGAGTTTCATGGGAGGCTGGAGATGGGTCTCAGTTCTGAAACATTGGGATGGCCACTCATCATAGACATTTAAGCTTCATAAGAGGCTGGAACTGGAGTCTCAGATCTGGAACATCAAGAGGGCCATTCATTGTTGACATCTGAGCTCTGTCAGAGGCTGGAGCTGAAGTCCCAGATCTGAAAATCATGAGGGCCATTCATCGTGGACATTTGTTCTCCATCTGAGGCTGGAGTTGCAGCTGGAATCTCAGATCTGGAACATCATGGGGCTTCTTATTGTGGACGTCTGAGCTGCACTGGAGACTTGAGCTGGGTTATCAGGTCTTAAACATCGAGGTGGCCACTCATTTTGGGCATTTGAGCTTCATCAGAGACTGGAGCTCTAGTATCAGTCCTGGAACATCAAGATGGCCACTCATCATGAACATCTGAGCTCCATTGGAGACTTGAGCAGGGAACTTAGTTCTGAAACATTGAGATGGCCACTCATCGTGGACATTTGAGCTTCATCAGAGACTGGAGCTGGGTTCTCAGATCTTAAACATCATGAGGGCCACTCACTGTGGACATCTGAGCTCCATCAGAGGCTGGACCTGGGATTTCACATCTGGAACATCAAGAAGACCCTTCATCACGAACATCTGAGCTTCATTGGAGGCTGGAACTGGGTTCTCAGTTCTAGAACATCAGGAGGGCCACTCATCATAGATATCTAAGCTTCATCAGAGGCTACAGCTGGGTTCTCAGTTCTGGAACATCAAGATGGCCACTCGTCATGGACATTTGAGCTTCATCAGAGGCTAAAGATGAGGTCTCAGTTCTGGAACATCAAGATGGCCACTCATCATTGATATATGAGCTTCATTGGAGGGTGGATCTGGGTTCTCAGTTCTGGAACATCAAGAGGGCCACTCATCAGAGACTGAAGCTGGGTTCTCAGGTCTGAAACCTTAGGAGGACCACTCATCGTGGACAGCTGAGCTTCATTGGAGACTTGAGCTGGGTTTTCAGTTCTGGAATATCAAGATGGCCACTCCTCAGAGGCTGGAGATGAAGTCTCAGATCTGGAACATCATGAGGGCCACTCATCATGTACCTCTGAGCTTCAATAGAGGCTGGAGCTATAGTATCAGCTCTGGAACATCTAGGAGGCCCTCATTCTTAATGACTCAGCTTCATCAATGACTGCAGCTTTACCCATCACACACAGCAGCATTCTCCTGGACTGTCTACCCTCTCTTGGTAGGGCATAGATTCATCTGTGTGGGGCATACATTGGAGGTTGTTTCCTCCTGGTTTCACTGATGCCTGGACCATCACTCAGGACCATCATGTATCCATTTCCATCTGGGCTGGGCTCAGGTCTTCTTAACTTAGCCAGGTGGCTCTTTCTCTTTGATGGCAACAATAGAGGTGATGGCAGTGAGCCTCTCCCTTCCCATGGGTTTTGTGTCCAGCTCATCTGCTTCAGCAATTCCAAGTGGGCCAGCCTGAGGACTCTGTGTAGATTTGAGTACAAGGTTCTCTTCCCTCATTCAGCCCCAGCCACAAGCTGCTGTCTGATAGCCTGAGGGACTGAGCTTGGCTTGAAGGCCCTGCCATGGAGCAGAGGAGCATCTGAGGCTTGGCCTCTGCAGCTCCCTCAGGGTCTTGCTCAGTAACCATCTTGGAATGAGTCTTCGCTCAGATTGTATTTGCTTGAAACTGTGCCTGATTGGCCATCCACTTGCCATCAGTTCTAAAATGGTAACTGCCTGGCCAGAGGCCACCCTCCACCACCACAATGTGTAATGAGGATAAGAGCTATAGTCCCTCTGAGGCTGAAGAAGCCAGAACAGTGAGCTCAACTCAGACTTCCTCTACCATCTCTCTATATCTGGCATCCTATGACCATTAGAAGAAGGGGGACCAACAGGGTTAGTCATCCAAATGTGCATCAGTCCCAGAACCTCCACCAAACCAGCCCTGCTTCAGGACATCTTATCACCCTGAGTGCCGGATGGGTAGGGGACAGGTGGGGACTATAGCTATCTCCCTTGTCCCTCCCAGCCCATCACACTGCCCAAAGAGAGAAGCCCCAGTGAGAGGCACATTTAACACTTACCTATCCTTAGATTAGTAGCATATCCATTACTGTGCTCGTTACGGCAAAAAAGACATTTATTGACGGCACAATAGGGTGTGCCAAGCCCCAGGTTGGGCACTTTCAGACCACATCACAGGCTCCTCACAACAACCCTGTGAGGTAGGTTGCAGGGCCCATTTCACAGATGCGGATGTCGAAGGCATGGCCAGTCCCCTGAGTCTCAGGGTTTGTAAGGTGTGGGCAGGGGTCAAGCCCACGTGTCTGACCCTCAGCTCAGAGAAGTCCATCCGCAAAGGGTGGGCGGCTATCGCAGGGGGCAGTCGGGTCCAGAGTCTTTGGGTCCAGCCTGTCCCGAGGGGATGTGTGCAGGGCGTCCCCGTGGCTGTGGAGGCTGAGAGAGACACAGGTGCAGATGAAGGCCACCCACTCCTGGTCGCATTGGCTAACAAGAGTTCTCAAGCAGACAGGCAGGGCAGGAGCTCAGAGAGGACAGGAACCCCTCTGCTTACCAGTCGGGGCACCTGAGAACATGGACATCGCAGGAAAGGCCCTGGCTCCCAGCAGCCGTGAGGTCGAGGGGAGCACCCAGCCTCCAGCTCCGGCCTGTCTACTTAGTGCCCTGCAGCCTCTGGTGTCCTGCACATCACCTGGGTCTCCTCCACCCACACAGACTTCCAGAAGCACAACCCTGGTCATGGCGCCCTCCCCGACCAGCCACCTCTCACAGTGCTCACCTCACTGACCCGAAATCCAGAACTCCTAGCCTTTCCAAAGACCACCCAGCTCTCCAACCCATTTCCAATTAAACCTGAGTGTTGTCTAAAAGATCAGCCTCGCCCTACTCTGGGGGTTTCTAGAAATTCTCCCCGATCTCCCCATTTTGGCCTCTGTTTCCCAAACCTGTTAAATCTCTGTATGCAAATGTAAACCTTTCCCTCCCTTGCTGTCTCCCCAGAGTTGGCCAGGTGCTTCTCCCACACCTCCACCCTGTCCAGTGGTCTCCTGGGCCAGGGTCCTCTGTGACCAGCGCCCACAGACTGCAGGACACATGGCCAGCCTCAAAGCCACAGGAGGGCGAGGGCTCCTGTGTGCCAGGTAACAAAACATTTATTTTCATATAAATAACCTCAGTGAAGCAAAAGCCATGTCAGGTATGTGACTAGTTCCAGGTTACAGGTAAGCAAGCTCACATAGCTCCCACCCACACTGCCACAAACACACATGCGTAAAAAGGTGCTGGGCGAGCCTCAAACCCAGATCTTTGATTCTTGGGAACCAGTACAAGGGGTGCAAACAGGCACAGTCACCTTTCTCAGTGTCTACCAGAATCCCCTAGAGGACACAGTTATGATGTACCCAATCTACAGATGGGAACGCCAAGACTCGGGTTGTTTAAATAACCTTCCCAAAGACCACTTCACTGACAAATAGTAACATCGCGACCAGAAATGAAATAGGCAAGACCTCTAGAGCTTCACCCCTCAACATCTGCCCTGCAAGGTGGGTGCTAGGTGTCCCCCCAACACACCCAGAGTAGAAGATAGACTCAAGCAGTCACCTTAGTTTAAGCGCCACACATTTGTCTAGCTCTAAGGTTCTTTGCCCAGTCTACTACTCCTCAATGCAATAAATAAAATGCTGAATTCTCAATAGTATTCCCAAGGCCCAAAGCTTGTCCCATGCTGGGAACAATGGGGCGAGGGGGGGTCTCACTGGGTCTGGGACCAGCATGGGTGCTGGGGCTGCATCTAGGGTTTGCAAAGTACCATGCGCCTTAGACACCCTGCCTCACTGATGAGTTGTTCCATACAGACCCCTCGCAGGGCAGGGTCCTTGTCATCCACAAGAGCAATCATCTCCCCCAATTTTCTCTAAATAGAGCTGAGCATTAACTAATCTCAAATGGGGCGGGAATGGCTCTAAGATCTCCTCTGTGGCGCCAGACCAAGGTGCGCTAATGACTTGAAAGCCTCCTCGCGGCTGGAACCAGCCCTTCAACTCAGGCCCCCCGGCTCTCACTCGAGCCTCTTGAAAATATGGGCTGTGATTTCTGAGCACGCAGGGAACACAGTTTACTGATTACTAATCAACCTCGTTTTTGTCAGGAACAAAGTTGGAAAAGATAATCAAACTTTCAACAGAAGTCAGACTTGAAAGTGGCAGCTGAACAAGGGGCTCACCTGATGACTGACACACAAACACAGCCCCTGGCAAACTTGCTCAACTCTCCTATAAAAGAGATGTCAGAATGAGTCCTTGTGAGCTGGCCCTAGCATAGCACTAGCTGATTTTTTAAATTGTGTGTTGACTGGGAGTGAAGGAATGAAGGAGTGAAGGAATGAAGGACTCGGTTACAACTATGGCCCTCTGGTGGAGGAAGCTAAAAGGTGGAAGGCAAAGGTTATGACAGGGACCATGCACCACCAGACAGGGTGGCCTGGGGTGGATGTCTCTGCTGGGGGGCAGGGGCCTCTCTCAGACCCCAGTCCTGGATTCATCACTGTGTGTGAAGCATGGGAAAGCACCATGCAGAAGGAAGCCATGTGGGTGATGATGGCAGATGAGATTCAACTGGGACTTGCTTACAGCAGTGATTGTGGAGGAAGAAGCTATAAATAAGATGTTTGCTATATGACCACAGCCCATGGCACTACACACCACACCCAAAGGAAAATATTTGCTTTCATAAATGGGAGGGGCCAAAACACCACATCAAGAAATGAAGGATGAATTCAAGGATAGATTGGTGGATCAAATTGAGTTGGAAATCATAGCCAACCTCCCAAGAATATCACTGACAACTCATTATACATTCATTCACCCCTTCATCCTCTCATCCATCAGCCAATCACTCACTACACATTAATCCATCCTTCCATCCTCTCATCCAGTCACCCACTCACCAACTCACTACATCTAAAACCATCCATCTATACATCTATCCATCCTGCCATCTTCTCTTCCATTAGCCAATCAATGACCAATCACAGCATATTCATCCATTCTCTAATTGATAGGCCAATCACTTACCCACTCACTCACAACTTGATCATCATTTTATTATCTCATCCATTAGCCAATCATTGACCACATTACACCTTCCATTCATCCATTCATCCTTCCTTCCCTTCAATCATTCACTCACTCACTATACCTTCATCCAACTTTCCATATTCTCATCCATCTTTCTATCCTGATCCATTAGCCAACCACTCACCCACACACATCTTCTTCCATCCTTCCAACATTCCATCCTCTCATCCATTAACCAATCACCAAACCAATGTATAATCAGTTGTCACTCAATTGCTCACTATACTTTCATCCAACCTTACACTCACACTCATTCACATCTTCATCCATCCTTCCATCATTACATCTTGTCATCCATTAGCCAATACCGATTACGCCTACATCATAATCCATCTTTTCATATTCTCATCCATAATCCAATCACTCAGTCATTCACTACACCTTCATCTATCTTTCCAGATGTCTTATCCATCTGCCAAACAAAAACCCACTCACTACATCTTCATCCTTTCTTCCAGCCTCTCATCCATCAGCCAATCATTTATTTACTCATTATACAGTCATCCATCCTACCATCCTCAAACCCATCATCCTACCATTCACCCACTTATAATATCTTTATCCATCACCCATCTTATTATCCTTCCATCCTCTCATCATTAGCAATACACTGACCACTCATTACATCTTCATCTCTCCTTCCATCCTCTAATTCATCAGTCAAACACTCACTCACTCATTCACATCTTCATCCATCCTTCCATCATTACATCTTCTCATCCATTAGCCAATCGCAGATTACTCTACATCATAATCCATTTTTTCATATTCTCATCCATAATCCAATCACTCAGTCATTCACTATACCTTCATCTATCTTCCCACTCTTATCCATGAGCCTACCAAAACCCACTCATTACATCTTCATCATCCCTCCATCCTCTCATCAATCAGCCAACCACTCACTCAATCACTACACTTTCATCCATCATTCTATCCTTCAATCCTCTCATCCATTAGTCATGTACTGACAGCTCACATCTATATACATCCCTTTATCCTCTCATTCAATCACCAATCATTCATTCATTCACTACACCTTCATACATCTTTTCCTCATATATCAGCCAACTAAAAATCTACTTCATAAATTTTCATCCATCCTTCCATTCTTCCATACTTTAATCCATCAGCCAATCATTAATTTACTCATTAGACCTTCATCCATTCTTCTATCATCATCTATCCATCAGCCATCACTACTTCTTCGTGTATCCTTCTAGCCTTCCATACATTCACCCATTTTCCAGTTGTTTACAACTCACTATACCTTCATCCATCTATCCATCATCTTATTCAGCCAACCAAAATCCCATTTACTACCTATGCACCAATCCTTCCATACTCTCATCCATCAGCTAATTTTCATTCACTCGCTACACTTTATACCATCCTTCCATCCTCTCATTGATGGACCAATCATTCACCAACTCACTACATCTCCATTTATCCTTCTGACCTTCCATCTGCTCATCCATTAGCAATTCACTGATTACTCACTACATCTGCACCCATTTCTTTATCATTTCATCTATCAGCCATTCACTCATTTATTCATTACACTGTCATCCATCCTTCAATTGTCTCATCTATCAGCCAACCACTGACACACTCACATCTTCATCAATCCCTCCATCCTCTCTTTCATCAACCAACCATTCACTTCCTCATTCATATCTTCATCCTTTCATCCTTGTTCCAATCACCCACTCTCATCCTCTTCCATCCTCTCATCCTCTAAGCCAGTGGTTCTCAACCTTTCTAATGCCGTGACCCTTTAATACAGTTCCTCATGTTGTGGTGAACCGCAATCATAAAATTATTTTTGTTGCTATTTCCTAACTGTAATTTTGCTACTGTTATGGATCGTAATGTAAATATCTGTGTTTTCCGAAGGTCTTAGGCAACCCTGCTAGCAGGTTGAGAACCACAGGTTGGGAACTGCTGCTGTAGAGCCTAAGACCATTGGAAAACACAGATATTTACATTACGATTCATTAACAGTAGCAAAATTGCAGTTATGAAATAGCAACAAAAATAATTTTATGGTTGGGGGTCAACACAACATGAGGAACTGTATTAAAGGGTCACGGCATTAGAAAGGTTGAGAAACACTGCTCTAATCTAACCACTCGTTTGCATCTTCAGCCATCCTTTTATCCTTCTATGCTCTCATCCATTCGCCAGTTGTTGAACACTTAATATATCTTCATTCATCCCTCCATCCTCTCATAAATCAGTGAATTACTCATTCACTCACTACAAATTCATCTTTCCTTCAATCAGACATACATCAGCCAACTATTGACCTACTCTCTACATCTTCATCCCTCCTTACATCCACTCAATCACATCTTCATCCATCCCTCCATCATCTCATCTTTCAGACACCCACTTATCCACTCAATCACATATTCATCAATCCTTCTATCTTTCAACCATAGCATCCATTAGCAAATCCCTAACCACTTATTACACCAGCATCCATGCTTCCATCCCCTCAGGCATCAGCCAACCAATCACCACTGACAATGTCTTCATCCATCCCTCAATTCTCTAATCTGTCAGCCAATCACTCATTCACTCACTAAACTTCGTCCATATTGCCAGCCTCTGATACATCAGTCAACGACTGAGCCATTAACTACATCTCAGTCCATCCTTCTGTCCTCTCATCCTTCAGCCAAACACAGACCCACATTCCCACCCTTCTCCAACCCTCCATTCCATTAGTCAACCATTCATCTACTCATTTATATACTCATCCATCCTCCTGTTTATTAGCCAACCACTGATCCACTCAATACATTGTCACACTTCAGTCAGATGCTCACCCACTCATTACATTCTCATCCATCTTGACATCCTTCCATTTTCTCATCCATTACCCAATGACTTATGACTTACTACAACTTTATGCATTCCTCCATCTTGTCAATCCATCAAGAACCAATCACTAAATCTTCATCAATCCTTCCATCCTCTCATCCAGCAGCAAACCATTGACCCACTCAGAACATCTTCATCTCCCTTCCATGTTCTAATCCATCAGCCAACCACTGACCCATTTACACATCTTCATCCATCCTTTCATTCTTCATCTTTTCCATAAACAAACCACTCCTGTACTCATTCATAACTTCATTCATTCTTCCATCATTTCATTAGCCAGTACTGAAAACTCACTAGTACATCTTTATCCACTGCTCAGTTCTCTCCTTTATCAGCCAATACATGACCCACTCATTATATCATCCATCCTCTCATTCATGAGCCAACCACTAACCATTCATTCACATATTCATCTATTCTCCCATCCTTCCATCCTCTCATCCATTCCCCAATCACTCACCACTCACTACATCTTCATCCATCCTTTTGTCCTCTCACCCATCAGCCAATCATTCACTCACTACACTTTCATCCATCTTATCATCCTCTGACCCATTACCAAACCAATTACTCATTTACTACATCTTGATCCACCAGAAAATCACTCACCTATCCACTCCATCTGTTTTTCCATCTTCACATATATCAACCAACCATGGATCCACATTCATATCTTTATCCATCCCTACATCCTCTCATTTATCAGCAAACTACTCAACCACTACTACATCTTCAAACTGTCCTTCTATACTCTTAACCATCAGCCAGATACTCACCCACTCATTCTATCTTCACTGATCATTCCATCCTTTTATTCTCTCAACCATTAGTCCATCACTGACCACTCACTAGACCTTCATCTATCTCTCCATCCTGTCATCCATCAGCCAATCACTGACCCACGAGTCACATCATCATCCATCCTTCCACCCTCTCAAGCAACAGCCAATCACTGATAACTAACTATACCTTCACACATCCTTCCATCCTCTCATCAGTTAGCCAATCATTGACCACTTGCTACATCTTCATCCATCCCTCCATTCTCTCATTCCTTAGCCAACACTCACTTGCTCACTACATTTTCATTGATCCTTCCATCTCTCATCCATTATTCAACTACTGGTCTACTCACTACATCTTCATCATCCTTCCACCCTCTCATCCAGCAGCCGACTACTCAACACAATCGTTCACATCTTCATCCACCTTTTTATTCTTTTATCCTCTCATCAATTAGCCAA